TATTCGACCGCAACCCATCAATGCTGATTTCACTCTTCTAGATGTGAGTATAATAAACCCACAAAGTCTGCAGGCATGACTGAAGTTAAGGATGAGAGTACTATCTGATTTCTGAGTGTACCGAATCTCTTGGTGTAGAGCATCTCTCCCAGGTTGTGAGGAGCCAGAGAGTAGATGGCGAGGATTCCTTCGTCAGGGAAACCCCGCTGGCTGCTGGGAATAAAGACGGCCAGCAGTTGACCGTCGGCAGAGATGTCGCAGCTCGCGTCGTTGTAGATTTTACAGTTTGGCACCAGGACGTTCACCGAGGCTGCAGAGGAACATCAAGAACACCTCAAGGTTCAAGGCTTTATTGTCATGTGAGCAGAGCTGGAGTTATGACAATGAAGATCTGAGGATCCTCCAACAGAGCAACACAATAACACGGATACAAATGTGCAAGTCAATAGAAGAGAATAGAAATAGTGCAGAATAGTCTATATACAAGTCATTGCAATATTGATATATATAAGTTGCAAACAGGTGTTTCTGCATGAACAGAAGAAAGTTGGAGAGAAATATCCCACACATTTGCTTTCAAATCCCCATCCCTAGTTCACGAACAATCACCCTTCTGATTTACCGTTGCTGATCTCCGGCAGGTCGAATTTGGTGAAGTCCCACCACTGCAGACGGTAGGTGGTGTTAGCGATGTTGCTGGCTACCGCAGACTGGCCGTCCCCGATCGACGCACCTGGAAACACAACTAAGTTTAACACCGAAAAAAGTCACAATATGAGAAAAAAATCTAAAATATGAGAAAAAAAATCTAAAATATGAGAAAAAGTCAACATTGTGAGAAAAAGTCAAAATATGAGAAAAATATGAGAAAAAGTCAAAATACGACAAAAATATGAGAAAAAGTCAAAATATGACAAAAATATGAGAAAAAGTCAAAATACGACAAAAATATGAGAAAAAGTCAAAATACGACAAAAATATGAGAAAAAGTCAAAATACGACAAAAATATAATGAAAAAGTCAAAATACGACAAAATATGAGAAAAAGTCAAAATATGAACAAAAAATATGAGAAAAAAGTCAAAATACGACACAAATATGAGAAAAAGTCAAAATATGACAAAATATGAGAAAAAGTTCAAAATACGACACAAATATGAGAAAAAGTCAAAATATGAGGAAAAATATGAGAAAAGTCAAAAATATGAGAAAAAGTCAAAATATGAGAAAAAGTCACTCTATTGACGGAGTGTGTGTGTGTGTGTTACCAGCGAGCACTCTGTGACGGAGGAGTGTGTGGCCAGGCCGGGCTGTCCTCTCTCGTGGAAGATCCCGGTAGGGCAGGTACTCAGGAGGAGGAAGCGCCTGCAGGACGACCATCACAGTGAGAGGCTGCTCTCTTTTCTTTCAAACACTGACAGATGGTTCGTGGTTTATCAAAAGTTACCGAGGACGAAGCGACCCAGAGACGGCGCCGACATCCGGCGGCGTTTCGAGGAGTCTGTGCCGAGCTCTCTCTCCGGTGTCACTGCCACACAGAACACAAGTTATTATACGATAACACCCCTTGTTGTGCATTATATATATATTCTGTAATAACCGTGCAGCACATACCTGGCTGCTGAATCTCAGAACTGATGTGTATTTAGTAATTGTGTAATTGTTGTGTCTTAACATTTGTTCATGCGTGCTTCTTTGCTAACATTAAGCTGGCTCTTTTCTGCTATAAGTATAAATACATGTATTCTGATTCTGATCATACGTATACATGTGTCTTTGATTGTGTATATAGGTTAATACATATTTTATATATATTTGTTTTTGTATTCTCTGGATTGTGTGAAACGGTATTTCGATCTCTGTCCACACAAACTAAAGATTGACAATCGAGTTGACTGATCCTGTTTCCTGAGAGACAGAAACTCACTCGAGCTCCTCGAAGTCCACGTCGCTGTTGTCCATGGCGCTGGGGGGGTTGGGGGAGTCGGAGGAGGACATGGCCCTCAGGCGGTTCTGCTGGTAGCGCAGCGAGCGCTGGCGGATGCTGTCCCTCCTCGACAGATACTGGATCATCCTCTGGGCGTAGTACGCAGCGGGAGAGAGCCTGGGGCGAGGTCAGGTTCATTTAGATCAGGGGGGTTCAAACTACGGCCCCTCAGCAAATTCAAAAAGTATAATGACTGAAGTCCAACAAACTTCTGCTTGTCTGTCTTCTTAAATATATATGTTCACATATATTACACAGTATTCATGTGTTAATACGCCCACTTCTAACAAATCTAAGTTGATACGGAAAAAGCCCAATAACACCTGTACGTAACAACCTTGAAATAGACGCTTAATATTTCCTCTTATTATAATCAATCTGAAGCTTCTGTTTTATAGAATGAGCTGCTAACTAAATAAAGTGAACCCCCTGGAGAGCATTTCTTACAGCATTTTCAAGTCTCAAGCATCATTTACCCAAATTTGATTGATTTTGCTAACTTATAACTGAACTTACGAGGCGATAACCCTCGAGTGAGCGGCCCTGCCCTTCGTATATCTTTCTGTATGTGGCCCTCGGCGAAAAGAGTGAGACACCCTTGATTTAGATATTATTACACTGTTATTATGACTTATACTTAGGGGTGGGAATCACCAGGCTCCCCACGATACGGTACTATCGTGATACTTAAGCCACGGTACGATAGTATTGCGATTCTACGATATGCTAAGTATTGCGATACGATATGCTAAGTATTGCGATATAATGCAAATCACATGCGCCATGTCCGTCTTCCCTTCCTGGCTAAAACATCCAAAATAATTCCTTTGATTTAAAAGGTGTCTAAACCTTACTCCATCTTTGTTCTGACCCAAGGCCACGAGATTGAAAAAGCTATTTTATGTAAATAACTCAGTCCCCTTTGTTTTGTCTGAAAAGGAGCTGGCATTGTTTTTGTTACTTTCTTTGCGTATACACGTGTTAAGCGTAATTTAGCTTAACTTCCCGTTTCATTGAGACATTTTGAAGGCGACTTTGCGCTGTGCCCAAAGCAAAAGCTTGATACCATGCTGGATGGATTATACTTATTGTATATGTTTACCTGGCAGGATCAGGGTAGATGGGGTGGTCTCTGGATCCCGACATGTCGTAGCGAGATAAGGATAACAGAGAAGATTCCAACAGACGTCTGCGGGGAGAAACAGGGAGAGAGAAGGCAATGATTTATATTTAATTAGTTTCTGGCTGTTTGAGAGCGAGCTAGATATCTAACATCCAGATATCTAACATTCACATATCTAACATCCAGATATCTAACATTCACATATCTAACATCCAGATATCTAACATTCACATATCTAACATTCACTAGCTCTCCAGATATCTAACATCCAGATATCTAACATCCACTATCTCTCCAGATATCTAACATTCAGATATCTAACATCCAGATATCTAACATCCAGATATCTAACATTCACATATCTAACATCCACTATCTCTCCACATATCTAACATCCACTATCTCTCCAGATATCTAACATCCACTATCTCTCCAGATATCTAACATTCAGATATCTAACATCCAGATATCTAACATCCAGATATCTAACATTCACATATCTAACATCCACTATCTCTCCACATATCTAACATCCACTATCTCTCCAGATATCTAACATCCACTATCTCTCCAGATATCTAACATTCAGATATCTAACATCCAGATATCTAACATTCACATATCTAACATTCACTATCTCTCCAGATATCTAACATCCAGATATCTAACATCCAGATATCTAACATTCACATATCTAACATTCACTATCTCTCCAGATATCTAACATCCAGATATCTAACATCCAGATATCTAACATTCACATATCTAACATTCACTATCTCTCCAGATATCTAACATCCAGATATCTAACATCCAGATATCTAACATTCACATATCTAACATCCACTATCTCTCCAGATATCTAACATCCAGATATCTAACATCCAGATATCTAACATTCACATATCTAACATCCACTATCTCTCCAGATATCTAACATCCAGATATCTAACATCCAGATATCTAACATTCACATATCTAACATCCACTATCTCTCCAGATATCCAACATCCAGATATCTAACATCCAGATATCTAACATTCACATATCTAACATCCAGATATCTAACATTCACATATCTAACATCCACTATCTCTCCAGATATCTAACATCCAGATATCCAACATCCAGATATCTAACATCCACTATCTCTCCAGATATCTAACATCCAGATATCTAACATCCAGATATCTAACATTCACATATCTAACATCCACTATCTCTCCAGATATCCAACATCCAGATATCTAACATCCAGATATCTAACATTCACATATCTAACATCCACTATCTCTCCAGATATCTAACATCCAGATATCCAACATCCAGATATCTAACATCCAGATATCTAACATCCACTATCTCTCCAGATATCTAACATCCAGATATCTAACATCCACTATCTCTCCAGATATCTAACATCCAGATATCCAACATCCAGATATCTAACATTCACATATCTAACATCCAGATATCTAACATCCAGATATCTAACATCCAGATATCTAACATCCAGATATCTAACATCCAGATATCTAACATCCACATATCTAACATCCACATATCTAACATTCACATATCTAACATCCAGATATCTAACATCCAGATATCTAACATTCACATATCTAACATCCAGATATCTAACATCCAGATATCTAACATCCAGATATCTAACATTCACATATCTAACATCCAGATATCTAACATCCAGATATCTAACATCCAGATATCTAACATTCACATATCTAACATCCAGATATCTAACATCCAGATATCTACATTCACATATCTACTTCACATATCAACATCCCAGATATCTAACATCCAGATATATCCGATAACATCCAGATATCTACTCCAGATATCTAACATCACAATATCTAACCCAGATATCTAACATCCAGATATCTAACATCCAGATATCAACATCCAGATATCTAACATCCAGATATCTAACATTCACATATCTAACATCCAGATATCTAACATCCAGATATCTAACATTCACATATCTAACATTCACTATCTCTCCAGATATCTAACATTCACTATCTCTCCAGATATCTAACATCCAGATATCTAACATTCACATATCTAACATCCAGATATCTAACATCCAGATATCTAACATTCACTATCTCTCCAGATATCTAACATTCACTATCTCTCCAGATATCTAACATCCACATATCTAACATCCAGATATCTAACATCCAGATATCTAACATCCAGATATCTAACATCCAGATATCTAACATCCAGATATCTAACATTCAGATATCCAACATCCAGATATCTAACATCCAGATATCTAACATCCAGATATCTAACATCCACTATCTCTCCAGATATCTAACATCCAGATATCTAACATCCACTATCTCTCCAGATATCTAACATCCACTATCTCTCCAGATATCTAACATCCACTATCTCTCCAGATATCTAACATCCAGATATCTAACATCCACTATCTCTCCAGATATCTAACATCCAGATATCTAACATTCACTAGCTCTCCAGATATCTAACATCCAGATATCTAACATCCACTATCTCTCCAGATATCTAACATCCAGATATCTAACATCCACTATCTCTCCAGATATCTAACATTCAGATATCTAACATCCACTATCTCTCCAGATATCTAACATCCACTATCTCTCCAGATATCTAACATCCACTATCTCTCCAGATATCTAACATCCACTATCTCTCCAGATATCTAACATCCACTATCTCTCCAGATATCTAACATCCACTATCTCTCCAGATATCTAACATCCACTATCTCTCCAGATATCTAACATCCACTATCTCTCCAGATATCTAACATCCACTATCTCTCCAGATATCTAACATTCACTATCTCTCCAGATATCTAACATTCACTATCTCTCCAGATATCTAACATCCACTATCTCTCCAGATATCTAACATCCACTATCTCTCCAGATATCTAACATCCACTATCTCTCCAGATATCTAACATCCACTATCTCTCCAGATATCTAACATCCAGATATCTAACATTCACATATCTAACATTCACTATCTCTCCAGATATCTAACATTCACTATCTCTCCAGATATCTAACATCCAGATATCTAACATTCACATATCTAACATCCAGATATCTAACATCCAGATATCTAACATTCACTATCTCTCCAGATATCTAACATTCACTATCTCTCCAGATATCTAACATCCACATATCTAACATCCAGATATCTAACATCCAGATATCTAACATCCAGATATCTAACATCCAGATATCTAACATCCAGATATCTAACATTCAGATATCCAACATCCAGATATCTAACATCCAGATAATCTACATCCAGATATCTAACATCCAATATCTCTCCAGATATCTAACATCCAGATATCTAACATCCACTATCTCCAGATATCTAACATCCACTATCTCCCAGATATCTAACATCCACTATCTCTCCAGATATCTAACATCCAGATATCTAACATCCACTATCTCTCCAGATATCTAACATCCAGATATCTAACATTCACTAGCTCTCCAGATATCTAACATCCAGATATCTAACATCCACTATCTCTCCAGATATCTAACATCCAGATATCTAACATCCACTATCTCTCCAGATCTCTAACATCAGATATCTAACATCCACTATCTCTCCAGATATCTAACATCCACTATCTCTCAGATATCTAACATCCACTATCTCTCCAGATATCTAACATCCACTATCTCTCCAGATATCTAACATCCACTATCTCTCCAGATATCTAACATCCACTATCTCTCAGATATCTAACATCCACTATCTCTCCAGATATTAACATCCACTATCTCTCCAGATATCTAACATCCACTATCTCTCCAGATATCTAACATTCACTATCTCTCCAGATATCTAACATCCACTATCTCTCCAGATATCTAACATCCACTATCTCTCCAGATATCTAACATCCACTATCTCTCCAGATATCTAACATCCACTATCTCTCCAGATATCTAACATCCACTATCTCTCCAGATATCTAACATCCACTATCTCTCCAGATATCTAACATCCACTATCTCTCCAATATCTAACATTCAGGATTTCAACACAAATCTGAGATATGGATAAACAAACCCTGGATCATTTTAGAGAAATGTTTGGTGAATAAAATGATATGAAATATCCGTACCTCTTGAGTGAGTCCTCGTCGGGGGGGTCCACAGGCATCTCTTGGCTTAAGGCCTCCGGGGGGGGCACCCTGCTGGGCGGCCGGCTGCCGGTACACACTCCCACTGAGCCGTGTCCTGGTTGTAGACCAGCCCCACCGTCTGCTCTGCTGAGGGGCCAGGGGTGGGGGCGATGGGGAAGGCTGATGCAGGGGGGGGTG